CCTGCCAAGAGAAAGAAGTGTTTGGGACAAATCAAAGCCCATAGAAAGGGCCATGTCTGGCATATGTGAAGTAACTGCAGAATCTGGAAGGCTCTCAGTGTGAACACAATGTTCCAAGGAAATTTAATCATCTGCTCGGACCTTTAAAATAAAAGACAACTCCTGTGACAGTGTGTCCCTGTATAGATTGAATTAGTTCCACTTGTTGACTTTTAAAATCTTGTTACTCTTTCCATCATTCTAGACCATTTTAGGTACAACAAAACAACTGTTTTCCTTCTGTGTGTGTGTGTGTGTGTGTGTCTTAGGTACTCTTATAAACTGTCTCTTGTATTTTTGGTGTGTTTTAGGCATGCACACAAGCATACTCACCTGCACATTCACCCTTCAACTGATATCACTCCCCCCCACCCAAAATATCCACGTGTTGCTCTTTTCTTCATTTTCCCAACCAATCTTTGGTTATTTTTAAAGGACATTAGGAGAGGAGAGAAATGGAATGAATATCACATTTCCTAACTGTTACATAGATTATCTTTCTTTTCTGTCTGAGGAAAAGTCAACTAATTATTGCAAGTAGCATGCAATAATTCTGATGGCTTTGTTAAACAGAGGGTGGTGTTTATAGGATGTTAATTCTAAGAAAATGGTAGAACTTGTGAGGCAAACCTAAAGTAAAGATTAAAATACTCTTCTGAGCTTTGGAAATATTTTAGAAATAATTTATTACAGGGAAGCTTTTAGTTTGTAAAATGAATAAAAGTTGACATTTGGAATTCTGCAAAGTATGAGATAATGTTTTGTGAATATCCTTTCATAATATTTTGGCTTCAATATATAATAAAGCTTATAATGCAAAATCAAGAAACTTGGTATTAGTTTGGTAAAGCCTATAATGTAAAATCAAATTTCAATTGTGTCTTTGTTTTCTACTGCTGCATAACAAATTACAAAAATAATTTGATGGCTTAAAACAATGCATATTTATTATCTCATAAATTCTGTTGGTCATTAGTGCAGGCATAACTTAGGTGGGTTTTTAGTATTGGATCTCACAAAGCTGTGATCCAGATGCCTGCCAGAACTACAGTCTCATCTAAGACTCAGGGTTCCATTCCAAGTTCACTGGTTATTGGCAGAATTCAGTTTCTTGTGGTTGTAGTGCCAAAGTCCTCAGCTCATAGAGAATGCCTGTTGTTTCTTACTATCTGACCCTCTCTACAATAAGTCAGTTTATCTCTTAAAAGCCAACAGGATAGCTTTCTGTTCCTTTGAGCTTCTTACCCCTATACCCTCTTTTAAAGAGCTTGCTTAATTAGGAAAGGCTCATCTAAGGTCATCTTTCTTTAATTAACATAAAGTAGATTTTGAGGAGGGACTTTAACTGCATCTGCAAATTCACTTCATTTTTATGAAGCTAATATAAACTAATAAGTTAATCGCAGGAGTGGTTCCATAATGTTCACACTCATACTCAAGGGGTGAGAGTTATACAGTGTGTACACCAGTGGGTGGTAATCTTGGGGACCATAATTGAATTCTATATACCACACACAGGTTCACATGCACTGGTTGTAAGAGAATATTGATTATCACTTTTTATTTGTATTACTTGATGCTTGGGTGAGCTTTCTGGTTATCTCTCAGTCCCAATTGCTTGAATTTATTCTGAGTTTTCATAATGTTTGAAGAAAAAAATAGAGTTGATTATGTCACTTATCATCTCCAAAGTTTAAGGGAAACTTTTAAGCTCTTGTTACATTATATAATATTAGAAGTCCGGTGCACAAAATTCGTGCACTCAGGGGGGTCCCCCAGCCCGGCCTGCACCCTCTCGCAGTCCAGGAGCCCTTGGGGGATGTCTGACTGCTGGCTTAGGCCCGCTCCCCACCACCACCACTGTGCAACCACCAGGGGGCAGCTCCTGCAGTGAGCGTCTGCCCCCTGGTGATCAGTGCACATTGTAGTGAACGGTTGGTCTGCCATTTGGTCAATTTGCATATTAGTGTTTTATTATATAGGGTATGTTCTCTATCCAGAATATATACCTATATATACATTTACACATTGTGTGTGTGTGTGTATGTGTGTGTGTTTAGTGAATTGTGTATTTATCTTTTAGAATCTTGTGGTCACAAGAAATTTAAAAAAACTCAATTTTAATATATTGAAATATTTTAGAAAAGTATAATGGGGCAAGGAATAAAAGACTCTCCCAAATAAAAGAAAATTAATTACATTAGAATAACTTTTCAGGGTAAAGTGGAATGGAAAAATGATTGAAGGAGAAAAAGAAGTTGATGTACATTTTAATCAGAAACAGGTAGGTATCAAATCTCTGTAGTATTTACAGACTATGATATCCATTTAAAAATTATATGAAATTTTTTGTCTAAAAAATGTCAATAGGTATGCTAGAAATCACATCTTTTGTAACTATTTAAACTTATCATAAAAAGTATAGAGGTCAACTTTAAAACATAAGAGGAAATATGAATAATTTTTCAAAATTATTTTAGTAACAGGAGAAAAAAACAAAAATGAACATTTGAAGACCACTGAGCTTGAAGAATGACTATACATTCCAAGTATTTGGGATGGAAAGGGCTGAGGAAGGAGGAAGGTGGGTCTGGTGAGCTCTGATTTTAACAGCCCAATTAGAAATAAAGAGAATGTGAACTAAGGCAGTAAGTTGTGAGAATAATTGGGTGAGGAAGGATGTGAACAATACTAAATAGGTATAATGGATGTAGCGGGAAATAAGATAGGGATAGAGAGAAGTCTAAAATATATCCTACATTAATGGGTAGATGGTGAATATTTGAGAGAGTTAAAATTTTGAGGAGAAAGATAAGTTTAATTTTGCTTATAATGAAATACAGGTGATTGATGTGTGTGCTCATAGCACATCTAAGTTCAGTTTTCTCTGAAGCTCATGCAAAGTCATAAGTAATTACCAGTGGTAGTAAAAGCCTTGGACATAACAGCAATTCCAGGAAGTACATGGAGAACACAAAGAGGTTGTTCATCTCTTTCCTATAGGGTTTATTTAATAAGTATTTACTGAGTAGATCATATATGTCAAATGCTTTTCAGATTCTCAGGATAGGATATAGAAGTGAACAGACCAAGACCTATGATAAAACTGCAATTTCAGGGTGTTAGCACGAACTAGTGAAGTGAAAGCTGACATTGCCTTGACATTAGGATATTCACCTTTCTGAGCCAAGGTTTTGAATACTGCTCAGTTACTTTTATTTGTTAAAAAGCTGAATGAACCACACATTTGTTGTCACTTTTGCCAAGGTTTTGAATACTGCTCAGTTACTACACATTACATACATGTATTGTGTATACATATATATATGTAATATATATATGTAATATATA